TCAGCATTTAAAGGGGAAAGAGCAGCCAGGAAGGGAAAGAGGAAAAAGGGGGGAAAAAAGTGGAGGGTAGACAGTGAGGCCAGTGGTTACAGTCTTGTGAAGGCTTTGATTCCCATGCAGTGAATTTACATTTTACACATGAAAAGAGGGAGTAGAGGAACAGTTTTGTGTTCCTCTCATGTGCTCAGCAAATCTGCATCTCACATAGGACAGACATGTGGAAGACAGGACAGAGGAAGAAGTCAGTTATGCTTTTGTCTGACAGTGGGTGGAAGGGTGATTTCTAGTCTCCCATACCTGTGAAGGGAAACTGTCAATTACACTGTCAGGGTGAGGTCCCACAAAAATCTGCTTTAGGTCCACAGTGGGGGGGTATGTTCTGAAAGATTTGGGAGTTCACAAGGAATCTCCTGGTGAACAATTTGGGGGGCATCTGGGAAGATATGTGACCTTCCATCCTTGTAGCTGTCTGCGAACAAAAGGAAAGCAGGCTTTTTTGTGGTTTTTTTTTTTTCCTGTGTGATCCCATTCCCAAGCTTGACTTTCCATTTGACACAGTGAGTTTGGGGGCCCAACAATGTTTTTTTTCCACAAGTGTCAGTGTCGGAGCAGCCTTCAAGCATGCACACATGCACACCTATCCATATTGAGGGTCCATGGGTGACTCGCTCACATAATTAGCACCCGGCCACCTGGACTCCCAGGCTGTGTGTTTGCCTCCATTCTCCCTCCTTGTAAACCAGTAGCCCCAGGTCTGAGAGGGCTTGCTGTAATGTTTACCTATTCCAAAGAAGTCACCTTGAGGTCCAGCAGGGACAGACATTGGTTAATTCAACTTAGGAGAGAGCATCGATAGTGGCAGGTGGGTGGGGAATTTGCATCTCAGGACAGCGTAGCAAACCATTTTATAATCAGGTTAATTATTCAAATTCCTATACAGTGTTTACGATCACATTGATTAAGAGTGACAACTACATTATCTTTTTATATGAGAAAATGGTTTTGTTCCTAACTTTTAGCTCCCATATAGTTTACAAATACACTTTTACTCGGATAATACAGCTTTGCAACTAGCAAAGCAGTTGAACAGACACCCATACATACAAATGGGGAGACAATTCATATCCACAAATGCATCTCTACATAAACTATTCTTTTAATGTCATATATTTTTTAAAACAATTGCAGATAGACTACATAATATACATGGGCAAAAAGGCAATTAAGTGAGTCTCTTGAAAAACTAAATGTATAATAATGTGTAATAAGCAGCATCTTATCATTTATATGATTTACATCAAAATGATGACATCCTAAAACATTCGTTTAAAAGGATAGATATGTCAATAAAAAATAACGTATATTTTAATACTCTGGTATAATATTTCATATACTGCAGGAAAATTAATTGTGGGTCTAGTCATCAGCTTAACAAATAATCCTTTTCCATTAGCTTTTATTAATAAAAGAGTCACAACTACATCATAAACAGGCAAATTATTAATTACATGATTTGAGGCTTAGGGTGAAAACTTATAAAAATTAGTTGGAAATACAGCAAAGTTTACAACACAATACAACCAGCTGTTTTATATTTTTTGCCTTGTGTGAACTGCCCATGGTGAAAAAAGAACAAACTTTTTAGTGGTGGAAGACACAGTAAACTATATTTTGGAACTTATTTTTCAAGAGGAAGAAGGACAAAGATTTCAACAAAATTAAGGACTATTACAGATCCTAATAAAGGCATCTTGAAGTCAGAGAGGCCATGTGCTTGCTATAGACAAAACTTTATTCCCCCAACAACAAACAGAAAACAAAAACTGCACTGGGCTTGTATTTATATCTACAATCTAAGTCTTCCCTATGGCTACTAATCTACAACAAAGCACAGACCTTTCCACATGCTCCCGAGTTAGAAATAATCCAAGGTGTTAAATTAGTTCTTAAAATTCCAAGTAAAATGACCCTCCAAAAGAATCTTGACCATGCTCTCGGCTGCTCTCCCTGAAGCAACTGGCCTCTGTAAAGAAGGCACAGACACGAAGAAGTCCTACCTGCATATTTGGAAAGTCATTGATTTTAATGGGAGGGATGACCATGAATTTCAGAAGGGCCACACACTGGCCATGACATGCCTAGGTTGCTACGGTTCGTTGTATGTTTGGTAAAAGGTTCTCAGATGAGGTTGCTTTATGTGGTATGGACCAGGCAGAGGGGCTAGGAAGATGAGGAAAGCTGGAGGTTTGAAAAAATAGTGGAAATGAAATTTCCAAAGAGATGGTTTGGAGGATATCAAAAGGCCTAGGGCGAGAAAAGTCAGTCATGAGCGAATCAGGTTATCAGGAAAACAGGTCTGAGAGATACACGTGTGCCTACTTCTAGGTTGCTGACATTATATATGCACATTATAGCGGGGCTCGGTGGCTCAGCCTGTAATCCCACACCTTGGGAGGCTGAGGGAGTGGATTGCCTGAGTCTGCAGGTTCGAGACCTGCCTGGGCAACCTGGTGAGACCTCATCTCTACAGTAAATCAAAAAATCAGTCGGAAGCCGGGCTCGGTGGCTCAGCCTGTAATCCCGCGCCTTTGGGAGGCTGAGGTGAGTGGATTGCCTGAGCCCACGGGTTCGAG